AACTGAGTCTCTGTTCTTCTCAGCTCCTTTCTGCCCAGTGTGATGAATACCAGCTGCTCTCTTTCTCTCTGGCTCCCATGGCAGCCATGCTCTGTGGCAGAGGAGAGGATTGCCTGTTTCCTTCAACGGGAACCTCCCATTTGCCTTCTGAGACCCCTCTCTTATTCCCTCTGTCCAATCCCACTTTGTTTAATCTTCTGTCATCTTTATCCCATCTGGCTCATCAGAGAGGTGCAGAAGATTGAAGTCAAGAAAGTCCCTGAGGACTCACTGGGGGAATGTGTCGTCACTCGTTCAAATAGCTATGGCCCTACTGACTCCAGCCAGCCTCCCAGAGACACCAATGAAATCACATTTGAGGAAGACAGTGTCGAATCTGCGCTGGTTGTAGAGAGTGAATCATCTCGTGATGTAGCGGAGGATGCTCTAAGCATTCTTTCAGGTGACCTCTACATTCCCTTTTTTTGGTACCTCTGTCTAGGCTGAGAAAGATCAACTCTGAAGACAGGCTGTATATACACAGATCGGTTTAAATAAAAATGTATGATGGGACACTAAACACAGACATCAGGGAATTGTTATCTCTTCCTCAGCTCATGCCATGCACTTGTCTCCCAGGCCCGAGTATCAAGTTAGCAAACCCCAGGCCAGCGTGACAAACTCATGGTCACCTGAGCACAGGAGGTGTACAGCAGGTGTCTGTCAGGTCTCCTAGCGTTGAGCCGGTATCTCTCATCACCTGTCATTATGTCATCTGTCCCTGAACGATGTTCATGGAGTTTCCATTTCTTTTTAAGGAAACTGGGAGCCTTGCCTTTTTATTTGGAGATATTGTTCCCCAGGTTTCACTGCTCTGAGCTTCAGTCTTGATCTCTTTTAAGTCAACTTGCTTAGCTGCACAGTCACCTTTAAACCAGGATGAAAACATTTCCTCTTTACCTATTGATATGTTTCTGTAAAGCAAAGCTCACCCCTGGCTCTCCACCGCCTCAATGCAATGGCCGATCTGATTTTTCTTGTAGCATCACATATTGTTTGTTGTTGTTGAGATGGAGTCTTCTTTTGTCACCCAGGCTGAAGTGCAGTGGCACCATCTTGGCTGACTGCAGCTCCACTTTGCAGACTCCACTGATTCTCCTGCCTCTGCCTCCTGAGTAGCTGGGACCACAGGTGCCCACCACCACACCTAGCTAAGTTTTCTATTTTTCTTAGAGACCAGGTTTCACCATACTGGCCAGGCTGGTCTTGAACTCCTGACCATAAATTTTTCACCTACTTTGTGCTTTCAAATCACGGATTTTGTTTTTTCTTTTTCTTGGAGGTGGAGTCTCCCTCTGTTTCTCAGGCTGGAGTTCAGTTGCACGATGTCAGGTCCCTGCAACCTCTGCCTCCTGGGTTCAGACGATTGTGCTGCCTCAGCCTCCCGAGTATCTGAGAGTGTAGGTGCGTGCCACCACGCCCAGCTAATTTCTTTGTATTTTTAGTAGAGACAGGCTTTCACCGTGTTAGCCAGGATGGTCCCAATCTCCTGACCTCTTGAAGTGCTCACCTCAGCCTTTCAGAGTGCTGGGATTACAGGCGTGAGCCACCGTGCCCGGTTCACATTTCACCATTGGTCTGAGACGGATTCTTTTTTGTTTGTTTTTGTTTTGTCTTTTTTTATTGCTTCTCCCTAGGGACTGTCAAAAATTGTCAACGCTGACTCTATTTGCATGTCATCACGGCGGGGTATTGGGGAAAGTTTTCAATTAGCGATAATCTCATCTTGGATAAACCTCATTGGCTACGATGCTGCCACTGCGCAAAGCTCACAGATTCTTTTTCAAGCAAGTGTTAGAATTTACATATTGTCCAGTTTCATGCATAGATGCCTCTAACCATTCAATGACCTTGCTACCTGGTGAGATAAGTCAGTATTGCAGCAGCACTGCCAGAAAATAGTTTGACTAACACTTGGAGATTAACTGGGAAAAAATTTGGTTTAACTTTGCATAGACTGTGGGAGAGAATGTGGCATTATGGTCTGCCCGTAGAGGGAGATTTTGGTCTGTGCATCTGGAAAGCAGGCTCATCCACTCACCAGGCTTCATCTAGGGCACCCTAGCATCTGCCTGTCAGAATTTGTATTCTTGCCTGAGAACATTTCTGTGCTTGTGCTATGACTAAACACTGATTTGGTCATATGTGAAGTGTGATTTG